ATTCTTACACTGGAAACAGCATCACAGAAATTCACAAGAGATACTTGATGATGCAAATTATGAGCAAAGAGTATCTCAGATTACTTGTTATGGATCATGGTCTCGGCTATTGGAAGTGGCACCTAAGGAATCTTTTGGATATTTTTTTAGGAGTTTTTTTTGTTATTAGTGATTACTTGTAATTCCTGTTTAAAGTTTTTGAGTTTAGTTTACTTTATTTTAGCATCTTATTTGTTTTCAAAATTTATTCTAATTGATTATGGAATCAATACTAGCTCTTATTTTTTTACCTGTTGGGAACTTTGGATACTAATCAACCTTACAAGTTGTTTTATATTTGGTATATATCCCCTCCACCCCAAGGGTTTTAAAATAGGAAATAGTGGGTCTCATTTCAATTATGGTAAGTTTTGTTTAACAAATAGGCTTTCAATAAGGTTTCTTTCCCTGTTGGATCAAGAAATCATTAGTTTATTTCTTTGATTCTAGGTTGTACTAGGTTGTTCTTTCTTTCTTTTTAATACAATACTGCATTTCTTCAAAAAAAAAAGACTTTGTGAGGATGGTGGAATTGTAATTTAGGATAATTTAATTGGTTCATAACCACAAGAAAAGGTATAAATTTTAAATTCAATATAGACGACAATCTTCGTTGTCTGAAAATATGGAATAACTAATACATCACAAAAAAAAGCAGCTTAATTAATAATGAATCTAAATACATATTTTAGTGAGAAACTTCAAAATTAAGATGTATAATATTCATAATTTGACTTTAATAAATTTATATTCAAATTGAACAGCTTGATGAGATGAATCCAAAGACACCAAAAGTATTTGAATGAGCCTAACAAGCCCATATTTATATCAAGCACTTAAAATATAATTAAAAATTTTAAAACATTATTTATTTGATCAAATAATAAAAAAAAAATACATACTAATAGTCAAATTGAGCATTTCATTGAATGAAACCAATGAGTACAGGATCGCTTAATTAACATATCTTTAAAAAATTCAAGCATTGAAAGAGCAATTTTTTATCAAAGGAGTTATTATGTGCTATCAGATGGAGTGTTTCATATTTTAACTATATTTATAAGATATACTAATGTCAAATTCTATAAATAAACCTCCACTCTCTATATGAAGAGTTCATATGTCTTGAGAGAGGTTAAAAGATTAAAGAATTTTATAGCTTCATCTACACATCAACACAGAACCATTACACAACTGTCTTTATAGGACCATCGCCTGTCCCTTCAACAAACCATGGCTTGACCATTAATTATTGTTAGACCATCACCAACTAACCACCATTATTGGATCCTTACAGTTGGACTATCACCTGATTGTATTCATTGAACCATCGCTTGACCACCATCATTAAATCGTTGTCTAATCGTCATTGTTAGACCATTATCCGACTATCGCTATCAGGCTACTATCATTGTGTTACCATCGTTAGATTGTTATCAACGAACCACCACCAACAAAACACCATCCAATATCTGTCAACAATTGCCACCACATGACCTTTATTATTGAGTTGTTGCTGCCTGATAACCATTTTTAGATCGTCGTCACTAAGCCATAATCATCTGAATGCCTCTCATTATCTACAGACTCTGTGATAATTTCTACTGATAATTCATACACTTGTAATTTTGCCTTTTCTAATTTGGGGTACGAAAAATATTAATAATTAATACTCGTATAGTGAAATTATTTTAACTGGACTAAGTCCTGTGGTTTTTTCCCTTCTAGATTTTTAGAATAAAAACTTAGTATATCTTGTGCTCTTTTCATTTATTTGTTTATGCATGAGGTTTTTAAGCAAAGCTAGGTCGCAAAACTCTCTCTCTACTATCACAAGTCTTTTGCCACACAACAGGGAGGAAATCAACAGGCAAGCTAGTGAGAAAGAAGATTTTACCTTGAGCAGTGCCATAGGAAAGTCAAAAGTATGTCGTGCATGGAGCTACATGTAGATCAAAAAGTTATCGAAGATTAAGAATTTGAGAATGTGAGAAAGAAGGCGAAAGGTACCCATAGAGTTACAAGAGGACTCTAGAGCAAGGCATTGTGGGGGAGGTCACAACGACATCAAATGGGAGAGGAAAGTGAATTGGGAAATTACGGCATTGAAGGTTGGGATATTAACATGTTGCGATTGATCTTGACATCCAACCTATCAGAAAAAAATAATAATTAGTATTCATGTTGTGCTCGCTCTATTCCCCTTGTTTTGATAGTATTTTACTATCATTAATGTTCCACCATGTTTTTTTTTTCTATTTATTTGAATATTTCCTATTCTTATTTTATAAAAAATTGAGTTGCATCATCACAATCATTCCAAAATGCATATCAAAAGGTGCTTCATGATTCAAAATTTTACCTAAAATAATCTGATATAGAAAATACTCATGAACATTATAATATGAAGTTTTAAATAACCATAATGGTGATAGAAAAACATTAGAGCTAGCTAGATTGTATTCTCTTTCCTTTCTTTTGTCACAACTTTTTTGCACCATTTATCTTTATTTTTCCTCTTTCATAAGAAGTCGAATTAGCTCTTTGTTATTAGTTACCTGAAACCAAATTTAAACTCCATTATTTCCTATGCATGCACCAACTTATATAACATGAAACATACAAAATAAAATTGCAATTAATAATTAATGAACAAATTAATGTGATCATTAAGATTAAATCAACCACCACAGCAATGTAATTCACTACAACCATATGAGCACATTATTATTCATCAGGGTTCAGTATTAATTAAACTATATGGGTATTATAATAGAATTTTATATATAATTGCATGTACACTAACCATAAGGTAGAGTACTAATAAGACTAATCTCATGCTGAAATAGTTAGGTTAGCTTAGCTCATTATTATTTTTCAACTATATTATTCTATAATTTTTTATATTTTCAGTCTATATTGCAAAATCTATAGGGATTTACACATGCATTAAGATTTCATCAAAAATAAAAAGATTTAAAAAATAGTTTTCATAACAAAAAATTAATTTGATCAGAATGACTTATTTTTTCTTCAATTAATGAGATAAATTTATTCATTTTTCATTTTCTGGTCATCGTAATCATCATTCACTATTTCTCCATCAATCTTTAATTAATACAAAAACGAGATAAAATTAGTGTTTTTAATTTCATAATTTCTTCTCTTCAAGTAAAAGATGGATGGATTCCTATAATATTCTCATTCATACAGTGAAATACTATAACAATATTTAGTATAGATACAAAAGGTCAAGTTAGGGTTCTCAACTTTGTAATCTCATATATATACTCCAATTAAAAAGAAAAATTGACTTTTATAACCTCATTTATATAGTGAAATACTTAACAAAGGTCATATCTCTTAATTTTTTCTTTCTTTTTTAAAAATTCATATAAATTTTTAAATATGTTTTATAATAATTTTATAATATGTGCATTTATATTGGATCTTCATATAAAATTATAGTACTATACAATTAAAAATGCCCCTCAACTAGTCAAATATGACAAGAACTATTATTTTCATTCTCCTACTTTACTGTTGAGTCCTACTCATACATGCACCAATATGCATCATCATAAATATTATAAGAAACATTTATTTATTAAAACATTTTTTTACTAGTAATTTATTTATTAAAACATTATACTAAAACAAGCCATATATAGGGTTACATTATATTAGCTATAACAAGTCAAGAGAGATATTGGTAACATAAATTCTAAACACATCATATAACAAAACAACCATGGTTAGGTTTGCCCTTTTGGTTATGTGATGCTTGATTGACTTATTTCTCTTGTATTATATTATATTATTTATACTAAAACTTTTTTATATTCATATTAATGGACTAGAGGTTTCTTAAATATTTTTTTCACATATATATAATTAAAAGATATCTATATATTACAATAAATTTAAAACTATTTAATTTTTATAGATTATATATTAATAAATTTTATATTTTAAATAACATTTGTGTGAGGATATTTAAATAACATTTTATAAATAAATCAAAATTATTCTATCAAATTAAGCTTACCTTAAGCATCAATTGCTCAAAAATATTTGATAATTTTCACATAAACTTATAAAATATAATGCATGGCCTTAATTCAAATGGACATGTCATTACAAAAAAAAAAAAGAATATAATAATTCATAGAATAAGCTTGAATGCTTAGATTTTTAATTATTATAATTATTTAAGCTATTTTTAATGGTTGGCCAGATCTGGCTTACCCTAATTGCTTTTTCCCATAATATTTAAGAAAAAAAAAAACTTAAATTAAAGTATTCTAAGTTAAATAAAGTTAAAGATCATATATGACAATTTTTGAACAAGAACATTTCATTGAATATATGATACTTGTTTTTATCTCATTGGACAACAATCAATACTATTATAAATTTACAATATATATATATATCAACTCAAGAATATTTTAGATTTGAGCTAAATTACACTCAATATATCAAAATATTATGAAGATAAAAAATCATATTTTTAGGAAAATATTTTACCACCTAACTCATAACATGTGAGACATATTATTGATCAAATAATATCAAAATATTAATCAGTTTAATTTTGTAATTAGCATCTAAACAATCTCATTATTTTCATTCCTAAAAAAATATGTTAAAAACAATATAAAGTAATTTATAAATTTTGATGATGATATTAAAAAATTCAAATTTATTTTATGTTTTTTATTCCTAAAAAAATGCATAAAGAAAAAAATAGATTAAATTTTTTTTATCATGATGAATTTTAAAACTTTAAAATTATTTTATGATATTAAAATGTTATATTTTAATATTTAATATTTAATATTTTTTCACATAATATCCTCCTCGTCATGATCCCAACAAGTGGATCAATAAACTTTTATTTATTTATTATTTATATTCCCACTTAGTTCAATTTCAAGCATTTGTCAACCACCTTAATTATAAATTCCAAAACACAAACCTCTTTCCCCCACCCTCACACTCCTTCTTTCATTTGCTTCTGTCTCTATCTATTGAACATGGGCGTCGTCGACGACCCAAGCGAAACCGGTCTACTCCTCCTCCGGCTGGGCCGGACCGGACAGACTGCTTTCACCGCCAACCACCACCGCCTGGTCAGACGAGACTCTTCCGCGAAATCAAAGCCGTCAGTTTTGAGCTCATCAGGGCCTTCCCTGACCCTTGGATTCTCAAACGGCGCTGTAAAGAAGGAGAGCGACGGAGATGGGAGTGATGAGGAGGAAGACGGCGGCGGCGGCGGCGATGGATCCCGGAAGAAGCTGCGGCTAACTAAGGAGCAGTCAGCTCTTTTGGAAGATAGGTTCAACGAGCACAGCACGCTTAATCCGGTTAGTTATTTCATTCTGTATTTTTCAAACAAAAAGTTTTTTTTTTTTCTCTAAATTTTGTTTTGAATTCTGCTGTTCATCCCTTTTTTCCCTCTCATTTTCAGTTTGGAACAAAATTTCGAGCGTTAATTGATTTTTTAATTACAAAAAATAATTTTTGTTATTTGTTTTTATTATTTTCTTTATTTTGTTTTCATAACAGAAGCAGAAGCTAGCGTTAGCGAAGCAACTGAGTCTGAGGCCTCGACAGGTGGAGGTGTGGTTTCAGAACAGGAGAGCAAGGTTTAATTTCCTCTTAATATTTACTTCTGTTATTTATTTAAGAGCATATATACGCTCAATTGTTAGGAGGATTTTATAATAAAATTATAAAAATTGCAGAACAAAGCTGAAGCAGACAGAAGTGGACTGCGAGTTTCTCCGGCGATGTTGCGAGTCTCTGACGGAAGAGAATCGGAGGCTACACGGAGAGTTACAGGAACTGAGATCTCTCAAGCTGGCGGCGGCGACGCAGCTGTCCATGCAGGTACCGCCAGCGACGCTCATGCTATGCCCTTCTTGCGAGCGTGTGGCGGTTGTCGGTGAAGCTGACGATGTAGTCATGGAGAGAGCTTTTTCTCCGGCGATGAAAGCTATGATGAAGAAGAAGAGTACTCTGTTATTGAAATACAGCTAGTCGTTGTTTGCAATTTGCATCCATGAATAGATCGACCACAAAATCTCTTTTTTTTTTTTTTTAAATAATTTATTTATTTTTCATGCTTTAATGGAGGATGGTTGATATGGCATGCTATAATATGTATGCCGTCAACATAATATTAACCTTTTATACATTAGGGTTTGTAGCTATGAAAAAAGTCATATATATGATTATATGTGTGAATCTAGCTTTATTAATATAGGATTTGAGAAGAAATCACTACAGGAAAATTGTTGAATACAGGCAAAATTTTTGGCTATAAAAAATCATCGAATTTATGATGATTTTATCGGCGGATTAACAACCCTGCCGGTAAGCTCTGGAATCGTCGCCTCTTCCATCGGATTCCCTGGCAGTTTAAAGTGAAGTTTTTCTGGCGGAAAAATTCACCGATTAGCCACCACAAATCCACAGGTTTATGAAGACACTTTACTCTAAATATGTAATACTAAGGTATTTCTTTAGTTAAATTTATTTCTCTTTATGTGGTATAATCTTTATATATATATTTTTTGGTGATCCACTAACATGCTTGAATTAAATGTAGGTGTCATGAACTATTGGCTAAACTTAGATAATTTAGGCATAACATCAAGCAAAAGAAGAGAGAGTTTAATGAAAACATGAAGGCCATAATCAAAGATCAAATATCTATTGAAAGCTAGTGGGATTCATTTGAAAAGTCCATTACCTCAATTGGCTTCCTAACTTGGTAATGATTAAAAAAGCGAAGTAAAAGTTGGTAGGCGACTTTACAAACTCAATAATTTATGTCCCAAAGATTCTTATCCTCTTCCTGATATTAACATGATTTTTGTTCTCATGGTGGGCTTTTTTGCATTAAGCTTCTTTGGTGCATTCTTAAGATATAATGCAATCAAAATGAACCCCAATGATGAGAAGAAAAAAAAAATTATTACTAATTTTGAGAATATCTAAATACGAGGTTATGCATGCTCTTTGGGTTAAGGACTACTGAAGCAAACTCTTATTTGGAGGAGAAAATGCACCACTCTATAATTAAGGCTCTTTAGAAAGTCAAACAAATTTAATTGGGATGATATTTGAAAGATATATTCCCAAGCACTTAAATCATACTCTTATCCGAAAGTGGTTCAACACCTTGAACTTTGTGCTTCCTTAAAGAAAATCTCATAGCAGAATTGAGAATTTCTCAAAATGATGTCAAAACATCCCAAGATTGAGATGAAAATCTCTTGAAATCAAGCAACAATGAATGTAGAGTTATACATTTCCCAAAGAGGTTGACCATTAAATGTGAGGGCATAATTATCATGTTAAATGTTAGCATCACTTTTGAGACATGTACAATACTTTAATTTGGCTATAATTGTTTATGTATCAAATGAACCTAATCCAAGGCCGGCTCAAGGATGAAACTCAAATTAAATCTTAAAATGACTGCAAACCTAATTAGTTTGTTAGGTCTTACGTTAGGTCAATAGGACTACCTTAAGTTAGAATAACATAATGGATAACACTCATGACCACTACTCTAACATGATGATACTCAAAGGTTAACTGACCAAACCCAAAGGTATTTGTATAACTTATTTAATTAACTTAATGTCAACCATATCCAAGCCTAAGCCAAGCTCAAACTTGTTTTAATTTTCTAGTTCATATCCTTACTTCATGTGAAAAAGGTAGAATAGGCAGGAAACTTCAAAAATATATTCATTTTTAATTTAAATTAATGATAGATAAAATAAAAAATGATTAAAACTTTTGATGTACACATGTTGCGCGCTCTATCATTGACCTTTCACATGCAAAGCTATATATATTGTCCACTCATGATAATTTCTTTGATCAAACATTACAAGGAATCTTTTATAAAAATAAACTTTATTCTAATATTTCACACCCAAAATAATCATACACACATACACACATAATTTCAAACTATTTTAAAATTTCTATAAAGAGAATTTGCGGGTATTATTTCATATAATTAGAGATATTCATTGTAAATGATGATTTTTTTTTTTTTGAAATATTGTGTGCCACTTATTGCAATGAGTGTTGGAGGAGGAGGAGGAGGAGGATGATGATGAGGAGGAGAGAGAGAGAGAGAGAGAGGTAGATATTTTAGTCACTTACAAATTAGCAAAATAAGTAGAAAATATGTGATTTTTTTCATGATTCATTTCCTAGCTTGAAAAATGAACCGCTTCCCTTTCCATAAAATTAACATCGATCTATAAATAGGTGATAGATATTTGTAATGATATATCACTCTATATATAACAATTTTGGTCAATTGACATTAGAAACACAATGTAAATGTATAGATATCTCCAATCAAAATTATCAAAATAGACTAGTATTCTATGTAAAATTGTAAAAATTAAAAAAATAAAATTCCTATCAAATTAAATAATTCTAGAGATGAAGATCAAGTTTTTTTCTTCTTTGGATAGGTGGAAGCTCATAATGTGATATGAAAATTAAGTTAAAAGAAAAATAAACATATCAAGGATCACATCTAAAGTTATTTATATGATTTCACATGATAACATCCAACCAAAACTCCATTAATGGTCCAAAAAGGCTTATCCTTAAATTAACCATGTTCCCTCAAATGTAAATAAAATAAATAAACATATAGCATATATCACTTGAACTAATAATATTGCTCTATCCGCATAAGTTAAATTACACTTCCTTATACGGTCCCAATCAAGCTAAGATTCTTATAAACTTTGTCATTCATCATCAAGCTACTATTTTCTTTATACTCTAATTAAGCGCCAAATACACTCCATCACATCCTTTAATCAAATTTTATATTATTTCCGCCTACTCAAAAGAGAGGGTTGGAATATTATTCATCCTCAAATAAAGTAAAAAAAAAATCATTATAGATAGAAACTCATGTCTTATCATACAAGGCAACATAGCTTCTTGATGTCTGATGGTCATGAAGAAGCACTTAAGTTTATTTATTATTTTTTCAATGATGTAATTACTCTGTCTATTTGTATCAATTGATTCCTAATGATACTTAAAGCTCTTGAAACAATGACACTATATTTATTTATTAGTAGTTATACTTAATACATTGAGGACCTAAATGTATGATGACAAGGAAACTACTTCATTTAAAATATGTGAAACATCTATGTCACTCTCATTTGAGAAGATGACCATTGGAGAGGAGTATTCTTCTTTAGAAAGTATGTAATAATGATGACCACAAGATCAAAAGGTGGGCACTAGAATTGCGATCTTGTGATATATCTTTTAAGTTTGATAGGATCATTTAATGATAAATAGATAGATAAACATCAAAGAAAGGAACCTCTATGCATCAATTATTGAGCTAGTTAAGAAGATAAAGCCTACGAAAATATGTGAGTACTGAAAGATAAGTTAGGATGATAAATGATAGAGAAGTCTCCCACCTTACTGTTTTAATTTCAATCATGTACTTCTATGAACGTCAGGGTGTCATCTCTCATTAATTAACTTTTTGTTTTGTTTTGATAGGATTTATATCATTTGTTTATTTTTTTAATTAATTCATCCTTGCTTTTTAAAAAGCTTTAAATTATGAGAAATAAGAAAATGATGAAACATAAAGTTTCCAATGAATGATATCGATCATGATTGATGGAATTTGTAATCATTGAAGAATTGCAACCATATACAACCATAAGATAAGAAACCTTTTAAATAATTGGTATTAATTATAAATTTCATAGGCAAAAACTTTGATTTGATTGTATGGACACTTTATGTTTATTATTATATTGGGAGGATAATCTGTGGGGATTTTGTATGTGTAGTGATTGTCTTGTTGTCTATTGAAAGAGGACAAAATCATTGAATGATTCACAATAATGTGAACGTTGAAATCCATGTGATTTGAAGTTGCAACAACACCAACAATAAGAAATCGACAAATTTAAGTGATTATTGGAAAGCTAAAGTTCAAGTTGCAAGTGTGAACTTTAAAGAGGATGGATTAATTCATGTTGTAAGTTTTCTTTTTATTTTTCTTAAAATAAAAAATAAAGAAAGATGAGTGGCAGTTAAGTTTAATAATTAGAATCATTTTTTATGAATTAAAAAAAAAGTAACAATATATCTTCAAAATACATTAAAATAGTAATAATTAAATGAAAAAGAATAAAAATACTAATAACAAAAGAAATGATCAAAGTTCAACGGAACAATAAAATTTATAAAAATTTCTTTTCCTATTTGATCTTCTTTTAGGCTAGCTAGCAACACATGTATCTTATTTGGAAGCTTTTTTTTTTTGAATGACATGCTACAAATGCACGTTGAATCATCATCATCATCTTGTGTTTTCACTTCCAACTTTAATTGCTTATTTATTTTAAGCTTTTTATGCATTGTTAAGAAATTCTTGGAGGAGGTAGAGATCATCTTGAGTTTCTTGCGAGAGAGCGGGAAGAGAGAGAGATACATGGAATGAGAGCTAACAGGGATCTTTATTCAATACAACTCTTGGGCTTACAATACATCAACATATAACCAATATTTATAGTGTTTTCAATTGATAAGATGTCTTACGGATCAACTTAATCTAAAACAAGATCAATTTCTAACAATCTCAATCTTGGTCCGGTTTTATAATCAAAGAACGACATGTGCGGTTGCTGCGATCCGATTGGCTCCTTGCACTAACTCCACGAGTAAATCCGTCGAGCTAAGCCCAATTCCGTTGTTGTCTAGCCTCCATTGTATATTCTAATCCATAGTTCCAGATCGCCCTCCTACACCCGTTACAGTCTCCCTCGGTGATCTGCACCCCATGCCTTGTGCATTGTCTGCTCCTATTAGGTATGCCCGTGCTCAAGCATCGAATATCCTCTGGCTCGCCCGTATTCCCAAACACATGTGCGTGCTCCAACCTGCGATTTTGCACGAGCCGCCCACCCAATCCCGAGTTTGATGCTCGCTTCTTGTGCATTCCTACGTGCAACAGCTCTGGTGTGATCTATCTTGCGAGCTCCGCCCTGAGGTTAGATCTTAAGCA